GAATTTTAGAAGGAGGAGTTTTCATGATGAAAATCAATGGGAGAAACATAAACACAGAACAAAATATATTTTGAACAGGATGAAGAACTGGTGACTGAGCCCCTTCCTTAGGAAAAAAATTATGGGAATAAAATATTCTTAGAATTCTTACATTTGTTGATAAAGCCAATAGTTTCATTGTTAGGTAACAGAAAATCTGAACATTCTCTCCACCTGGGGAAGATTCTTCTGAATAAATAGAGCTCAGGCTGCAGTCAGGTACTGACTAAATGAAAGAGCTATCTCTTAGTAGCTGAGACAGGTAATACTGCACAGCCCTAGTGCACAGAGATAAACTGCAAAGGAAAATTGGTGGATTTCAAGAATGACATGGAATCACCCTCTGGGCTGACCCATGTTGTTTCAGATGATGAGTGGCCATGAATGTGACAGATGTTTATTGGCCTAAAAGAAATATGGAGAAAATAAATAAGCTTTATTTGTAGGGAAAAAATGTGTGTAGTGAATTCCCTTCTAAGACTAGGGGATGCAGCCAGCTGTCATTTTCCTGACATATCTATCACCTACCAAGAATCAAAGACTACAGAGATATTTTAAGTTGTGCATCTAAATAATCCTAAACGGACAGCCCAAGAAATCAAGACAGGAAAAGGAATATCTTTTTCTTAGACTTTCTGTGTCAGTTTCTTCTTAGTTCATCTATATCTCACTCATATTCCCCAATAATATTTTGCTTTCATTACTCTCCTTGCATATCTATCCTGGACAGGATCCATTTTATTCAGGAATAGTCTTAGCATTAAGCTCTGTCACTTGGTTGGGAACTAAGGACATCACATCTGAACTGTTCAGCTTGTTTTTATTTAAGCATAATGAAACTCCATTGTATCTTTCAGTATTAGTACCAGTAGCTTTTGTACATGACCAGGTTGTAGCAATAGGTGAAATTTGCAGGCAAGGTAAAAATATTTCATCCGTATGAGAATTTAAACACTAAAAGATGCTTTAATCCTTGCACTTTCTTCTCCTCAGTTTTTCATTGTACTCCAGATAAGAATGGTGAAAATTTTAGTGCATTTTCTCTTTGAATATCAATGACTCAAAATGTTTTGGGTGTGTTTGTGTTGAAGTCATTGAATCAGTAATGGGTTCTTGCACCCAAGAATCCATTTCTACATACTAAGAAAATCCAAAAGCTATTTTACATATTGAAAATTCAGGAAAAAAATGGAAATATTTAAAAAACTGTTCCTTGTTATTGAAATGTAATGAATTTACTATGAACACAAAAATCTTTTAATTCAGTACTAATAACTGAAGTCATAAATTATCTCAAGTATCTAATTATTAATACCACAGATTTCTGGAATTGTTAACTGATGAGCAAAATAAATTATGCTTTGAATTATATAAAAAGAAAAAAACTGATAGATTTTGGGATAGTACTATTGCTGATTTAGCAACACCATAAATCCACTTCTTTCCTTAAGTTTACAAAAATCCCAGGAAATGGAAATGTCTATGTATTTACCATTTGAACTCAAATGTATTAGAACAAAATGGGTTAAATATCTTTTCTTAAAATAATGTATTTATAGAGTTTGACACAAAGAATAATTGCTTAGGTTGTACAACTCAGAAGAATCAAAAGATACTGCAGTAACACAAAATTGTCTTTTAATGTTTGTTTACCAGTTCATTGTATCTTACAGAAAATGAAAACATTTTTTTTTCTTGTAATACAGATTGGTTCTTTTCCTCATATTTGTATTCAGTAGGTATTAAATGCCTTTAAATACTGATTGTCTTTTAAGCAGATGGCTTAATGACTTTTTGTATTTTATATTTATTTTGTACATCATTGCTGCTCTGGCAGTAGTGAGCTATGATACACTTAACTTCTCAACAAAACTGTCAGTTATCCATCCATCATTCTTGATGCATTTTGTGCTGAAAACTGATAGTAATTCCCTTTTAATCCTCCCCTCATAGTGCTCAGCTACTCCATAAGACCACCATATTCTTTGGAGCACTGAAATCAAGAAACCCAGTATGGCTGCCAGCAACCAAATTGGAATCTCCTTTGAGTCTACTTTTAATTGCCAAAATAATAAGCGACTATCTTATTCCATAAAATAAAACTCTAACAGGTACCGGCCCCCTTTCTATGAGAGAGTTTAAATTTACAAAAACCATATCTGACTAAAAATTACTGTGATAAAACATGGCAGCAGTCATTAAAAGATGGTGTCCAGTGTTAATATGATTAACTTGTTTCCATTCCTATTGTCTTTTTATATGAATCATTTCTTAGTGATGGGTTTTAAAATGTAGGGGTCTCAATCAAACTCACGGATGAACTTTGCTGTTTAGATGGGCCGCATGTGTTAATTATGGACAAAATTATCAAAACAAGATTTTCTAACCCAGAGTCTCTTCTTATCTCTTGATACTCTCTTGGAACCCAAGTCTGAGGAGCAATTTCTGAATTAGCCAATGTTGTACTGACTTTCTTGTTAGTAATTGTTATTAGGATAACCTTTTTCCAACATTCTTAATGAGAGATATCTTGGTCAATGAAGTAAGAAAATAGACATTTGGTGGAAAAATGGCAAATGATAACATTAAAAAAAATAAACTATTCAAGTAGAAGTCCAAAGGGGTGAGGGGATCCTCATCCTTTAGGGGAAAGTCAGAAGATAAAAATTCTGCCCAGCAGTTTTCTTTTTAAAGATTTTTTTACAAGCTTGGAAAAATGCTGTGCAATCAGTATAGATTTTAATCAGCTAACAGTCAGTTCAAAGTTTTTGATCAGCACCAATTCCTATACTAATAAGTATTCAAAAGTTAAGAAATGTTAGCTACTATGCTTAACATTATAAAGGTAGAGTTTTGCAGCAATAACTGAAAATTATGTATCTGTTCAATATAAATTTGTTCCCATTTGCATTTCCAATAAAATTCTTGTAACGTGGGTAATAATCGTTCAAGTATAGGCTTCCTCCAATGAACTCACCTCCATAGCTGTTAAGAGTCACTCTTTTGGAGATAGTACCATCTTTAAATAACATATTTATCTTATTAGAGACCATTCAGATATTTTTAATTTAAAAGTTCAAGTTCTATTTGTATCATCAGTGTTTGAGTTAAAACTCACAATTTTTTGGATTTATAATTTTTGGATTTTGTAATTTTTGTACAATTTGCATATCCAATGTAATGTAAAAATGTGCATGCGTACATTATCTTTTCATAATTAAAGCATATGAAAATGTCCAGCTATGTTCTTGATAAAACAAGTGATCTACTTTTATTTACAATATTTTGTCTGGATAATGTATTATTATGATAATGTATTATCATAGTTATGGTTTTATGGATTTCCAATTATTCTATACCTTCCACAATTGTAACTCTACATTTAGAGAGTAAAATTTATTAGAATTATTACAGCACTTTAAATGCAACCACAATCAATTCAGGAAACAGATTTATTTACTCAGGTTCATGGGAGGAAAATCTACATAAAAACATTCATGAAAGCATGCCAGCTATGTCATACTTGGATTATTATACTAAATCCCATTTATTAGAACTCATTGTGAAACAATGGGAAACCATAAAATGTAAATTGAATACAAATATTGGTCCCTGTGGAGTCTCAACAGTCATAAAAACATAGGGAAACAGAGCTTTATTTAAGATTGGAGGTGCTAATGCAAAAGTTGTTTTTCTGAAGCTGGCTTTTTCTTTCACTTACAGCCCTGATGATTTTAGTGTAAACTCTTTGATGACAGTTTCAGTGTCTCATTTACACCTAATGATCACCAGCAAGCAGAGTGGCATGGCTGACCACGTTCTCTTGTGGAGGAAGGTTTAGAACTACTTTGTTGACTTCCTTTTCCTCAACCACAGGCACCAGTTGGACTTTCTAGTGTAAATACAAGTAAGAAGAATACGAATTTTGTAAGCGGGGTCCTTATTTCTTGGTTAGGAAAGTGTGTAGTTATTTATTCTTTTTATGAATTAAATTTTAAATGTAATGTAAATAAGAAGGAGATATTAAATAGTTTAAAGTTATTTTTATAGGACAATAACATTTCAAAGGCTAACATAAAATCAAGCTGCTAAATTTTACAATTTTTCTGTCCAGCAGTTTATCTATATAACTGCCCTGAGTAGAAGCTAAATGCTGCTTAGCCAATGGCCCTTAGAATTTAAATATAACTCAGTAAAGCTACTCAAAAGATAAGACAATTCTTCTTAGGCATTTGTAATTTTAATAAGAAGAAGGTAGGAGTCTGTCATTGGTTGAATATTATCTGCTTATTTAAATTTCATACTTCCTATAAACGGGGTTATGAAGGAGTTTTAACTGTGCTTATTACGATGCATTGGAGTCCTTATGAAATTTTTTTTTTTTTTTTGGTCAAAAAGGATTTTACAGAGTAAAACATTTTATTGGAGATGAAATATTAACTTCTAGAAAAGTGTAGATTATTCTTTTGTGAAACTGAGTTTTGTGCAACCTCTCAGCCTCTCAGTTTATGTAAAGAAGCCTGCATTTCAAATCTGTTGCTCTGGTTTGTTTATTGTAGTGCATTTCAAAATTGTACAAATGTGTAAAATTTGTGCTTGTGGAAGCTGCTGCTCTGAGTAGCTTTACTTTCCTTAATTTAATCCTGGCAATCCTCAGGTTATTGCATGCCCCGTTCATGAAAGGATACTTCGTTGAGATGATGTAGCCTAAACAGTTTGGCTCTAATGCCTCCTTTACGTAGCGCGTCCCTTAAAATTATATTAATTTATAATATATATTGAATGATAGCTTTACAAAAACAAATTAATGAATTGACCTTTATGAAAATGACTCTTTACAGTAAGTAAAAAAAGGGTTATCACAGTTTTGGTAACTTGCATGAGTTCATATTGGGAAAAAAAAGAAAAAACCTTTCACATGTTCTTAATGACTTTGAACTTGCCGTGCTCAGGGGGCACGCTCAGTTGTATGCTCTGAAGCAGTAGACACCATACAGCTTATGATTTTTATCTGGGAAACCCACGAAGCGCACCGCAGCCTCGGTAGGACTGCAGCGCCTTCTCGGTCTAGAGATAGGGTAGCGGACACTGCCGTCCTCCAACCAGCCCGCATCGCAGCGGTCATAGCCCAGAAGTTTCCAGGCAGCGAATATCTGGCCCACTTTCGCAATCTGAGCACCATCGTTGAGACAAGCTTGCACCGCTTCGTCATAAGTCAGCTTGGTGGGGTGGATCAGGTAATAAAAACGGCCTGCGGAGAGAAGGAGAGAGGACAATGGGCCTGTGTGCGACTGAGCCGCGCAGAGACGGAAGGAGCCCCCTACAGAACTGTTTCTCAGTGAGGTGGGAAGTAGACCCATGTCTGAAAAGTTTTGGGAACCTAGCATTCCCAATCAAATATAGTGCCCCTAAATCGCTCTCCATTAAATTAGGTTGTTTTTTTTTTTCTGGCCCCTTAATAGATGTTCAGACATGCCCTTTTATAGCTTTACAAAAGAAAAGGGAAATGACAGATGCAGTTTCTGTTCGCTAATTAGTGACTAAAAGGGCCCTTCTGTGGCAATAGAGAAGACCGAATTCCATGTTAAAAGCAAGAGCTATTTAAATTCTAGCTGTAGCAAGACTGAACCCCAGCACAAGTTTCTGGAGAGGCAAAATTTGAATCTGAAAGGATCAAAAAACATTCCTGACATAAAAGTCCATTAAAAAACCCCCAAAGCCCTCAAGTCCTTTTCATCACAGGTATCAATAAGACATTATTCTTATTCAAAGACTACAGTATGAAAATGAAAAAAAAAATACAGGAAGACACTTGTCATAAATAATGCTTGCTCAGAATGTGAACTGAGTCTGTTCACTCACTAGCAGAGGGTGAATTTATTTATTTTCTTCAACTTTCCTCTGTGGGAGCCTGCTATCTTTTTTTTTTTTTTAAATTTCACAAGAAAGAGCAATTTAAAGTTAGTCTCTCCCACTTATTCTTATTGAATAGTGTTAATTACTAAGATTCCTTCAATGTGTATTAAGTATCCATAAAATATATAAAAAAAGACATCACTGACCGAAGTGATATATGTCAATTGAAGATTTTCTCAGACTTTTTTCAGATAGAATATAATCACTCTCGTATCTGATTATACATTAAACATAGGTTATTGAAGTATAAATAAATGCTTGCCAGTACTTTCTAGACTAAACTGATGTGATTTGGAGAACTGGTAGAGGCCATTGAAACGAACATTAGCTAGTTATATCATCTACACCAGAGGTCAGCAAACTACAACACCTGAGTCAAATGAAGTTTTATTAAAACATAATCACACCCATCCACTTAATACTGTCTATGGCTTTGTTAGTGTTACTGGGTACAAAGCTACATTGATTGAAAAGTTGCAAAAGAAACCATATGGTCTACAAAGCAAAAAATATTACTATCTTGTCCTTTACAGAAAATCTGTTGGTCCCTGATCCCTTGCTATTTTTTCCAAAACATGTCACCAGGGAATTAAAATACAGTAGATGGGACCAGGGTTTGCTTCATGGGTGTGCAACCTGTGCAGTTAGACATGGCCTCAGGATTGCTTTAATGCCCTGCCGTCACTATCTTAAAATTCTCAATAATTCTGGAACAAGGAACCAACATCTTCATTTTGCAGTGGGCCCCACATTATGTAGCTGGTTCTACATGAAGCAAGGTAAGGTTGCGAGTTACAGTGAATGCAAGGAATCGGGCATCAACATTCAGGCAACATGAACCTCTTTTCTTCTGCTTTCACCTCCACCGCCATTTCTACTTATTTTTCTTGCAAAGCTCTCTTTGTTGTGAACTTTTCATCCAATCATTTATGAATACACTGATGTTGTAATTCAGTGAAAGAGAACATGATACCAAAGCCCCCCATACTTCATTTGAGAGAGCTATAGCCTAGGGAGGGTACGTAGGGACAGCACCACCTTTGGCAATAAGAAGCAGACCCTAGATCATATCATACCATACACTATTTCATAATAACAATCAGATGCAATAAAACCTAATAGTGGAAACATACACTTTTGCTTGGCTTCTGTCAATTAAAAATAAATTATGACCTCAAAGAACTTTTCACGTCTTTTTCAAACTGGAGCAATACTTCAAAGCTTTTATCTTTTCTTTTTAAGTACATAAGACTGAAAGTCAAGTGTAGTGCCATAGTCCATATTAGTTTTTGGTATAGGAAAGAAGGCAGTGTGATTAATATCTTACCATTGAAATTGGACGTAAAACAGAACACATCGTATCTGCTTTTCTCTTTATCCCAAAACCCGTAGTTCCTGACACCGGGCACGGTGTTCTGGCCTCCGCAGGGCTCCCTTGGCTTGGTGATGGGGTACTGCACAGAGCCATCGCTGAGCCAGCCAGCATTGCACCAGTCCAGCCCACCGCGCCAGGCGTCATACAGCTGGTCAAAGGAGGCGATCACAGCATCCTGGTCCAGACAAGCCTGCTGCGCCTCATGGAAGTTGAGATTATAGCGCCCCAGTCGTGGAAAGTAAGGGAATACCACACCTGTCCAAAGGAGAAATCACGGGATCATTAGTGGCACAAAAAGTAACTAGTATGAACAAATCCCACCTGACTGGTGAAAAAACATTAGGGACTCTCCATCAGATGAAGTAGTAGTTGTTGGCAACTTGCAGTGGTTTCTCATTGCCTCGTTCTCCTTCAGACAGCCTCTCAGCTCTGAGCATGTCACATGTGGTTTGACAACTTCAGTGATTTACCTCTTTTGCTAAGTGTTCAACTGAACCTTTAAATTCTCCTTTCTAAAATGATTCACTGGCAGGCTGTATTTTCCAAATAGCCATCCTTGAGAATTTACCAGCTGCTACTGGTTACTAACCCTAAAAATGTATTTGAGTCCTGTTTGGGAAAAAGCCAATATTGAAAACTAAGCATGGTAGGGGATGCAGAAAGAGTGGTGAGAGAAGTTATTTATCAAAATTCACAATTTTTTTTTCTTCTTAGTAATTATTTGTATATAATTAGTAATTCATTTTATAGTCTTTTAAATATATAAACATATTAAATTATTCAAATACACACACACATACACACACACACACATGCTTTTACAGTTGATTCTAAAAACTTGGAGGTAAGTAACTTTCATTTAGGGGACTTCTGGTTTGGAGAAACCCTAAAGTGAAATCCTTTGCATACCTAACAAAAACGTAATTGAACAGTCTTATTTTATCTTGACAGAACAATTCTTTAAAGTGAGGAACATCTCCATAAGAAACATCATCGCTCACTTACTTGTTTCAGTTTTCACTATAGCCCCTAAAATATTTTTTTCCTGTTCTTAAACAATGCAACTAAAATAAGGGCTTTATTTAAAAATATTTCCATTACTATTTTTCAGTTTTCATGTTCATATATTGCAAATCAAAACTAAGCTTTTAAAAATATTTTTATTACGAATAGGAAAAAAAATAAAACTTGCTGATGTTTATCTAAGTCAAGGTAGGTACAGAATAGACATCTGTCGATTAAGTTAATGCCAGAGAATTAAGTTAAATATTTTAAAAGGCAAAATCCTGAGCAAGTGTAAGTGGTGTGATTTGGCAGTTAGCTTTCCTGGGAAGATGCAATGGTTTTCCAAAAGCACTCTTTTTGGTCAAATAATCATGGGAGGTGATTGAGCTGTCTCACAACTTTCTGCACCATTTTGATAAAGGATAAGGACCACTTAAAGAAGCAAAGTTGTACCATTTGCTGGACTTTAAGAAGGACACTATATCAAAATGTTTCCCCCATTGTTACTGAAAGGCAATTTATTTAGTGTGATTATTCAAGTCCTTACCTTGGATTTTAAAAATATAATTAGAAATAATTAATACTTTAGATGCAGAATATAAAGTATTGTCCCACTGACAGTAATTTGGTGGGTCATATCACTTGTGCTATTTTTATGAGACTGCAGGCCCTATTAAGATGAATGTACAATTCACTAATGGTGTAACCAGTACACAGGAAGTGTTTTCTTTTCTAAGTTGTCCTGGAGACTCTACAAGAAGAAATTTCAATAGCCTAGATCAAGTGCCATCCACCAAAGGCTTCTGCAGGACATGATCGCCCCTCCAGGGCGGTCCAGCTGGCACTGCTCGCTGTAGGCAGAGATCCAGGAAGCCTTCCCGATCTCATCCTGCCTTCTCAGGTTCTTGGCTGAGTGATCTGTCAGCTGAATCAGAGCCAAAAGAAAGGAGGAAAAGACTCTCTGGGTTGCCAGTGCCCCCTGAAGTGCTGATGGAAGAGAAGCCTGCAGAAGGCTCTATCTAAGAAGAGCTCTGCCCAGGCATCCAGCGGCGAACCCAGTCAGTGCTGGGGAGGAATTGCTACCGTGCTCCCAGTCCCATTGTGCCTTTCATCCTCCTTCCTCAGCAATCCCAGGAATGCTGCTGTAAAGGAAAATGCTTAATTTATCCATCAGAGATTTCCTTGGCAGCTGGATGTCAAGTGGGAGAAAAATCCCAAAATATGTCCATGTGGACAGAGAAAGAAACCATATGGGTTGAATTCCATTTTCCAAGTGGCTCAACATGGTAACAGTGTTGAAGATATTTTTCTTTCCTTTTTTAACTGTTATTCTATTACAGTTATCCCAATTCTCCCCCCTTTGCCTCCCTCCCCCAGTGCCACCCCCCACCCGCTCCCACAGTCAATTTTCATACCATCATCCGTGTCCATGGGTCATTCATATATGTTTTTTTGACGAGTCCCTTCCCCTTTTTTTCTACTATTATCCCCTTCCCTCTTCCCCTCTGGCTGTTGTCATTCTGTTCCTTGTTCCCATGTCTCTGGATCTATTTTGCTTGTTATTTTATTTTGTTCATTAGCTTCTTCTTATAAGTGAGATCACATGGTATTTGTCTTTCACCAGCTGGCTTATTTCAGTTAACGTAATACTCTCCAGTTCCATCCATGCTGTCACGAAGGGCAGGAGTTCCTTCTTTCTTTCTGCTGCATAGTATTCTACTGTGTAAATGCACCACAGTTTTTTGACCCACTCATTTACTGATGGGCACTTAGGCTGTTTCCAGCACTTGGCTATTGTTAAGAGCGCTGCTATGAACATCGGCGTGCACAAGTTCTTTTGAACTGGTGTTTCAGGATTCTTGGGGTATTTTCTTAACAGTGGAATCACTGGGTCAAAAGGCAATCTCATTTTTAATATTTTTGAGGAAATTCCATGATGTTTTTCCACAGTGGCTTCACCTGCCTGCATTCCCACCAACAGTGCACTAGGGTTCCCTTTCCTCCACATCCTCCCCAGCACTTGTTGTTTGTTGATTTATTAGTGATAGCCATTCTGACAGGAGTGAGGTGATATCTCATTGTGTTTCTGATTTTTATTTTAATTTACAATAATTTTAAAAACCAAGAAAATCTTTCAGGTTTAAATTCTCTATAGTATATTTAGTGGACTCTCATGGGCATTAGGGAAAATTTTTCTTTAATAATTTGTCCTTGATTAATCATTGAATGTTATTGAAATATGATACATCAGTTCCAAATCCAGTGTAATATGTTTTTGTTTGAGTTCCTTTCAAGATTTAACATAATTTCAAGCAAGCATTTCCTAAAGTCAAAATGGAACCCTGTATTAAAATTTCACTATTTTCCAATTGTAAGAATAAATGATCAACATACTTTATTAACTTAAAAGATTTACATACATTTTAATTAATATTTGATGATGCTGGAAAGGACACATTCCAAGTATATCAAGGTCAATTTCCATGTTTTACTCAGCCAAAATTTTAAAAGCTTCACTGTATTATGCACATTTAGGGCATACATTTCAACAATCAGATGTTTCTTACAAGCAGGGGCATTTCTGGAACTGCATGTTTTTTAGCATTATTTATTTACTTATTTTACTTCCAGCTTATTAAGATTTCAACATTTATGACTACGATTGCAGAAATATTCTTGGCTCTTTGAGAAAAATGTGCAATTCCTACAGCTGAATTATGGAGCAAATGGTGATTACTTTCATCCAAAACTTACAGAAATAAGAAAAGTCAAACTTTCATGGGTGAAAAGAAGGGTATTTAGTTATTTTCTAACAACAATTATTTTATACTTATATGTCAAAATATAATAAAAAGCTCTTCACTTTTCCATTGAGGTCTGGTATGCATCACTGCAAAGGGGATTAATAAGGATGATACATCATCACAGGAAATGAGTAATAACAACTGATGTTAGTAATTTTGTCAGTCTAAGGATGTTTTGAAAACATATTCTTTAATATTTATAATTGCAGTCTCTTTCACCCTAGTTGTTGGCAAACATAAATTGTTAGACATATGAAAAGTTTTCATATCATGGTACATATAAAAACTAAAGTCAACTTCAATTACTCCATATTTAGTAATATTTAGTAATAAAAAGGCAGAGACCGTGCAGCACAGTTTAACCTTCCTCTGTGTCTCTCATAGTGCTTAACAGTGCTGTGTGCCTGCATGGAATTATTTTTCTATTTCTGAAAGTCCTCAGGCGACATTTTTGTGTATTTAGCCTCAGTTTCACCAATGTTCATGGGTATTAATTTGAATAAAAAACTGAAAGCACAAGATGACATGCAATCAGGAGTCAAGAATGACAACTGAGAGAGGAGAAGGTCACAAAAATGAATTTTATGACATCATATAATTTATTAGATATATAAAGCTAATAAATCTCTATACACGTAACAGGGTTCTATAGGGTTCAAAGGTCAAATTTTCACTGCTGTGCTACTAGATCAAACACATCCTTTTCTAAAGGCACAAATCCATCCTAGGATGTGAAAGGAGCTCCTAGCAAACACACTTATAGTTCATGTGCATAAGGGAGAAAAGTATGCTATCAATGCAGCCAAAATTCATCCTCCAATGTAAAGAAACTCAGAAATTTATGAACATAAGAAGTTTTGAGAAACCACAAGAAGAGTTTCCCTACTGGTGGGGCATTTAGAGGGTGCACTTTGGGCAGAGGGGACACAGGATGACAAAGATACTTTTGTTGGTTAGCTTTCTATACATTTTGGGTTTTGAACCTAGTGGATGTATTCCATATATAAGAAGTGAAATTTCTCCCCAAATGCCTTAACCATCTGGTATTCAATGTCTAAGAGACTCTCGACCATTAAAAAAAAATTGTGTCTTTACAAATCTGGAGGTTACTTTTTTGTTAAATTAAGTTTTCAAAGTTACTTTACATAATACAGTTATATGTATTTTAGTTAGTAGATGTCCTTCACAAAACTTGCCATTATTTTGAAACTGACATAATTTTAGAAGCATAATAAAAAAAAAGCATTGAATCTGAATTTCTCAATAACCATATAATGAGATTTAAATTTTGAATAGCATAGGCAGTTTCTGGATATTATTAATTCAGTTCCACTGCACATTTCTTCTACTTGCAAATAGCTTCAATTTTGCACATAACCATTGTGTGTACATTTCAAATATGAAAGCTGAAATCACAGACAGACTACAAAATACAAAAGAATAGAAAAACATGCTATGCATGGACTTTTGGTTTCTCACATCATCACTTTGGTAACCACTACACATCCTGAAAAAAAAAACAAACTAGACATCATAAAAAAGAAAAGAAAGCAATGATTAATTATTATTCCTAAGTTTGACATGATTTATAGATACTTACCTTGTAAATCTAATGCTACCACTGCAGTATCGTCTTCTAATCCTTCAATCACCTCACACTTGTATTTCCCATAATCCTCCAGGGTGAGGCCTGTGATTACCAAAGAAGCATCGTTTTCACTGCCTCCCTTCAGAAACACTCTATCGTGGTAGCCAGCATAGGCTTTCTTGTGGTATCCCATGGAAACAAAAACGTCCACTTCCTTAAGGTAATCTGAAGTTAGCTTGGTCCACTTAATGCGGATTTTGTGGGTTCCTGAGCCAAATGCTATAGGGTCTCGATAAAATTTACATGGCAGTGTAACATTGCCACCTCTGTGTGAGAACACCTTGGCTTGTTCTGCTTCCACATGGAGATGGGGACCATTTTCTGCTATAATTAAAAAAAAGAAAGAAAGAAAAGAACCATTAATATGCTTAGACATTTCTTTGAAGTGAAATATGCTACCTCTACAAGGTATCTAATAAGTAGTAGCATTGGGTGATAAGCTTCTCTGCATTGTTGGACAGTAGTCTCTTTTGAACCACATGGAAAGGTACCTATAATATTTAGAAGGCACCTATAAGGTAGCTGTGTCTTTTGAACCATTGAAAAGAGGAAGAATGTGCATTATTATCATTAAGAAATATTGGGTTTAAAACTCCATATATATTTCACAATAAATTTAATTTCGTTGCATTTAAATGTCAAATATATAGAAACAAGATGAAGAGAAATGATAAAAGTGCCATGATTATTTCATCAATATGAACCAAAAAATTTGTAGACAAACTTTTCTATTCCTTGGTGAGTTTTCTAATATAATAAATCTGTATTATATTTATGAAAAAAGTATAAAACAACATCATCAACTTTTATTATACTTCTGGTCAAAGAATTTAGAATAGCCTCACTTTTATGACCTCTATTCAAATATATACCTGTAATTAAAATGTCATTCTGGAGCAGTTTAAGCAAACATGCATATATTTAATTTTCACAAAAGGCCAGGCATCACAAAGGTATTTTCAGTGAATGCTTTATAAAACTTCCAGCTTTCAAAATAGAATCCTCAAAACTTGAATGTCAAAAGTATATCCGGTTACACTTATTTTCTGACTAACCAAATAATTACTTATTCCCTTAAGTCTCCTTCTACTCCCTCTCTCTTTGCTTCCTGCTATCTCTTACTTAACAGCTATCACAGCCACCTTGCCTTGCCTTGCCCTTTCGTTTTCCTCCTCCAAGGACTTCATTGCCTTCCAGAGAGAACCGCAGCACTCCAAGCTTGCCAAGTCAGCAGGGCTGCGGTTCTCTAGAGAGCCAGCAGTTATTTTCAGATCTTGCCTTTCTCTGGGGTTTCCCCTGGTTAGTTCATTGTGCTTCTGACCTTGACAAGGTCTCTTGAGGATGTGCAAGATTTGAAAATGAGAAAGTGATATAAGGACTGCTGGACACGCATAGCTTCTGATCTATACACAGCTTTCAAAGGCGACCCGAAACTGCGTTTCCCCCTAGCCCTTGTTGCCACAGGCAGGCAGGTACTGAGTAAACTTTGGCCATGAACAATTTACGACACACACAACACCGTGAGTTGTAGCCACTTACCTCCAGACAGATCTAAAACTTAGCTATTTAATGGCATACATAGGATTCAGATTTAAAAATAAAAAGTGTACAAAAGTAGATGCAGCGGTTCTATTTTTATCATATAGCAATCAAAATTATGTAATATTGAAAAAAAATAAATTTCATGTATAAGTCAGCCCCAATCCTCAGAAACCGAAAAGTTTAACAGTGCTACCAATGCCCCCACTTAGAAGAGAGAAAAGAGGGGCGAAGATAATGACCTCATTAAAATAAATCTAGCTCATCAAGCATTTCCTTTATATTTTAGTTTTTCTTTCCTTATTTAGGGCCACCAAATTACAAAAAGATGAAAGGTAATCTATCCAACTCTACCCTACACATAATTTTTCCCCTACAATACAATATCTCCAATGACTGCATCCAAGTTGCACCTAAGTATCTCTAGCGCCTTCTTTCTGGGGGGAGAAAAAGGAGCTATTGACTAAATTTGCTCAGTTATGCATGAGGACCAGAGGGGGCATCCCCTTCCCAGGCCCCTGGGAGCACACCTGGGAGCTGGGCCTTCTCCTGCTGGAGCTTGAGTTTAGACATGACACAGAACTACAAGGGGTGGCAGTTTCATGATTCTTTCAAACTGACTTTTGACTTTTTAAAGTCAAAACTAATATCCAAATGCACTGGGGTAGGGGGTATCACAGTAGTTAGGGCAAGGACATTAATGTGATAGAGATCTTGTTCTAACTTCCCCTCCCTAATTTTCTGGCTCGGCAGTCTTGAGTAAATTGTGCCACTTCTTAACCCCAATTTTGTTATATATGAATCCGGGGTACTGGTATCTACTATATATGGTTGAGCTAATAGACACATAAAACACTTAAAATAATGGCTGATCCAAAGTAAGTGTCCACTCACTGCTAACTGATCCTATTGCATAGATTTTCGATGATATTTCTCAAATATAATACTGCCTTATACTGAGCTTAATTTTGGCATATATTAACCTTTCATAGTTTTACTTACTTATAAGGTTTTGAACTATGTAGAATTAAAAAATACATAAAATGCCACCTGTGTTATTACAGGAAACGTGGAAATTATTGTATGGTTTGGCATAATCATAAGGTGTTCCAGAATGAATACAAGATCCAAGTGTTTTATAAATTAAAGAGTTAAAGCAAAGATCAAACCTCTTGTGCAAAGGACTGAGACTTCTAATTTTTTTCTGTGGTTAACTCTAAATCATCTTGGAGTACTTTAGAAGTCTAAGCTTATGATTTTTTTAGGTACTATTTACTTTTACTCCAGCATTGTGAGTAGATGATGACTTATGTGGTATAATACTGAGAAGGGAGCAGACACCAAAACTCCATATGCTTTCCCCAAAGTAAAGTTTCTTACAAGCCTACTAGAGTGTATAAATTTCCACCATTTTATTTTTATTTTGTGGGGACTGGCTGTTGAGCTAATAGATAACAGAAGTCCCTGACTGAAATTCAAAGAATCCTAAGAAAGATGTGTAATATGTAACACATTTAGTGACTGAGAGCCATTAATCATTAACCTAAACCCCCAACATAGCCTTCTCAGAACACTGTTCTGTTTTCTTGTTTTTATAGAAGACCCACAGCGGAGATTATAGAACACTGAACATCGATGGGGAGTGGCCTGTTGCAGAACAGGTAAGATGTAGGCATGAGCACTGGCCAGTGAGTCAGGAGCTCTGGGTTCTATTGCAGGCTCTACCAGACCTTAGCTGTTTGAGTGACAGGTCTATGCCATGAGAACACGGAGTTTAAGGGTATAAAATTCTTTAAAAAATTTTTTATTTAAATTTTTTAAATCCTTACCCAAGGACATACTCACTGATTTTTGAGACAGGAGAAGAGAGGGAGAGAAACACTGATGAGAGAAACACTGATCAGTTGCTTTTTGCATGCATCACATCTGGGGGACGAACCCACAGCCCAGGCATGTGCCCTGACTGGCAATGGAAGCTGCAACTGTTCAATTTATTGGACGATGCTCCAGCCAACTGAGCCACACCAGCCAGGAAGAGTTTAAGATTCATATAAGGCTCCCTATGGCAGGTTGTCACGCTAGGGATCAACCAGGAAATACACTAAGCTAGAGAGGAAGAGGGAAGACACAAAGAGAAGAAAAGGGAAACCGAGAGCACTGATGACAAACTTGGCGCTATCTTGTCTAGAAGTCTTGAATCTGACCACAAAAACCTGGATCGGTTTGAAATTGATGCTTAAATCAAGATTGTTTGATCAACACTCAGTTGCAAAGCAAATATAAAAGATAAAAATAAACCTTGATGATAAGAATGAGTATTGCTTGTTCTCCTTTTTAAAAAAATGTTTAAAAAAATGAAGAAAACTAGGCAGCATACCTATGCTCACTTGGGGGGGTGGATTTTTTTAAGTTCAATTTTTAACTTGCAGAAATTTCATATTTCTATTAATGACTTTCAGTGACAGTGACCTGAAAGATTCGATGCCCTTCAGAGACCACAGTTGTCTCCAGGGGAAACAGCAGGGCCTTGTTATTATTTCACAAGTTCTGCTGTGAAATCCAGGACGCTGTTAAGTTTCACCAAAATGTGAAAGCAATAACGTGACCAAATAACTGATCTTTATATTACATATAATTTAGATGCCACCTTTTAAACAATAGAACAAAAACAATTAGTTGCATAAAAGTAACTTAGAAACATGGCATTGGACTATTTATTACCTATTGTCCTTAGTTCTATTACAAATGTAACCCCCCTTCTTTTATTTTGGGCATTCTTTGCCAAGAATTATACAGGGAACAGGACAAGAGGAGAAGGAGCTACAGATTAAAGCTTTCTCTTCAAAATAAATTGTGGATTGCGCAAATAAGCAGTCTTGGTTGGTTACTTGCTCACTGGTATGTAGACTAAGTTGCCTACAGACTTGGACTTCTTAGACCAATAAAATGAAAATGGACAAACAAAAATATTGGAGAATATAATAAGGCTAAATAAGGTACTAAGCTAGGACATTAAAAATACTCCTGTCTACCACCATCATTTGCTTTTTTCATTGTGATAAAATATATATAACATACATTTGCCATTTTAAATATTTTTAAGGGTACAACTCAATGGCATTAATTACTTTCACCATGTCATGCAACCACCACCGCTACCTATTTCCAAAACTTTTCATCTCACCAAACAAAGCTGATTTCTCACTGACATTATAAACTGGAAGGCAGAGACTCAACTGTTAGTTCCATGATGAGTCATTTGAAAAAACTGCACAGGTTTTAAAAATAGTTCCTTATTTCTGTGACATCTGCTATCACTGTGGTGGGTTTGGATGTGTAAGACTAACACTTTGAAAGCTGTTACTTTCATTAGAGTAGCCAGACCTGCCTGAGGATGAGCAGCCAAAATGGATTTGTATCCTTACTACTGTGCTTGCCGCTGTCTTCTGAAAACAATCACTCTGTCTCCCTCGCCATACCTTGTTCACATAGTTCCTCCCACAGCACATAGTGCCTGGCATGCCTTAGTGTCTGTGACTGAAATGCATTGTACTAGTGCTGCCTAGAGCCTGTAGTAGCTGAAGCAGTAGACATGGATACTTGCTCTGTGCCTGATGCAGTTATACAGCTTTAAAATGAAAACACTTTACAAAAAAATAAATATACAGATTAAAGACTATTTAAGCAGAAAGTCTAATTTAAGCATTGGTCTCTCATTGCACCTTACACATTACATTGGCGTAGGATAAATAATTTAGAAAAAATGTAGTTCCTGACTCACTGGC